GGGTGGGGGGGTGGGGGGTGTGGGGGGGGGGCTGTCAGGAGAAGGGGGTGTAGAGAGCGGTTGGGGCAGGTAAGGGAACGGGGGGGGTTAAATTGGTCAGGGGTTCGGGGGGGGCTGTCAGGAGAAGGGGGTGTAGAGAGCAGTTGGGGCAGTCAGGGGACAGGGAGCAGGGAGACTTAAATAGGGGGTGGAGTCCTGGGGGCAGTTAGGGTCGGGGGGGACAGGTAAGGGTATTCTGAGGGGGACGGGAAGTGGGAGGGCTAGGGAGGCACCCCATGTCTCTTTTTTGATTGTTGAAATATGGTAACCCTACTATCACTGACCCCTTCAGATAAGATTCTATGATTCGAAAAGGTGTGTAATAATCGCTGTTCTCTTTAGGCAGAGGTGGGTAAACTACTGTCCGCGGGCCACATCCGGCCCGCGGGACCCTCCTGCCCGGCCCCTGAGCTCCTGGTCTGAGAGGCTTGCCCTCAGCCCCTTCCCTGTTGTTTCCTTCCCCCGCAGCCTCAGCTCACTGTGCCACCGGCGCAATGCTCTGGGCGGTGGGGCTCCGAGCTCTTGCCTGGCAGCACAGCTGCAGAGCCCAGCCTGACCCGGTGCTCTAGGCAGCATGGCTTGTAGCGCTGCCAGCCACCCGTGCTCCAGGCAGCGCGGTAAGGGGGCAGGGAGCGGGGGGGGGGTTGGATAGAGGGCAGGGGAGTTCACGGTGGTCAGGTATGTGGATAGGGGTCGGGATGGTCAGAGGGAAGGGAACGGGGGATTGAATGGGGGCAGGGGTCCCGGGGGAGGCAGTCAGGAAGGAGAGAGGGGGTTGGATATGGAAGCCGGGGGACAGTCGGGGCAGGGGTTCCAGGGGCGGTTAGGGAGAAGGGGTGGTTGGATGGGGCAGGAGTCCCGGGGGGGCAGTCAGGAATGGGGCGGGAGGGGTCGGTCAGCGGTCTGGGGGCGGGAGGGGGACAGGGAGGGGTGGATGGGGCAGGGGTCCCTGGGGGGCCGACAGGGAACAGAGGGGGTTGGATGGGATAGGAGTCCCGGGGGGGCCATCAGGGGGTGAGAAGCAGGGGGGGTTGGATAGGTTGTTCGTTTTCTACTTTAAAAGCATCCAGCCATGAAGATGATTTAAATCTTATCAGCGGTTCACTTTTTTTGTTACCTTTAAGAATAGTTACTTGCCTTAAAGAAAAGATTTCAGAAAATAAAATGTGTCCTGTAGAGAGAAAAACAGTTATTCTGCTATGGCAGCTTTCTGTTAAATTGGTTGTAAGTCTCCCTAAAGTTCTGTGAACATAACAAAACTGTAAGAGGCAAAGGAGCAGTAGCATTACAAATGTAGCATTGTGTACTGAGAAAATGTGCTTTGGGAACTTTCAGACTTATATCTGCAGATTGTTTTCACAATAGAAATTACACTGGGAATTTATTAAATGGGGTTTCAGTGTACTCTGGTTCTTTATAAACCACCAAAATTACAAGCAATATATTATTTTAATAAAATGACAGATAAAAAACAAACACTTCTAATAGGAGAATTTCCTCTAGAAAGGAAATTCTTAGCATATTGATGTTCAGGTTAAAATTTCAGTCTAACCTACTTTAAACAATGAACATTGTTCTGTTCAAAATAGTTGCTTGACTAAAATAGTTCAATTTTTTTTCTGTTGAATCAATGTGCTGATTCAACAGAAAATTTACAGACTGTAAATTGAAAGTTGCATTGAATTTATCTCCTGTGCCTAAACACTTCTAGTGTTTTAGTTTTTGCTGCTCACTTATTGAAACTTAGCACACACTTGTACTATGGCCAAGTGTAATCTGTTATCAGTTTGGTATGGGATACCTGTGCGGGGATACCACTGCGTCATGGAAGACTGTAAGCAGTTTTGGGGCAGACACCATGATTTCCTTGTATGTATGTGGTTTTTGTTTTTGTTTTTTTACAGTGCCTCCTAAAGTGGGGTTTCAATCCTGATTGCGGGGGCGGGATTGCTATTGTAGTACAAATAATAAATATTCCCCTTACATCACTGTGATTTATGATTAAACTTTTTGTAGTATGAAATGGCGGAGCAAAAGATGAAAGAACTGTCAGAAGAACTAAATTGTCGAAGACCAAATGCTGAAAGTGCTCGTCGCTCATTAGAATAGAAAGTTAAAAAAAAGGAAAAGGAATACCAAAAGGTAAGGCAAGACCCATTTTTTTCACAAGTTTAAAGTTGCCTCCAGACTGCTATTAACAGAGTGAACAAGTTGTTCATTGAGTATTTGTCCGTGTAGATCCCACTCTAGGTGCATATGTACCTCAGGCACGCAAGACTGGATTCTTCTTTGAGTGCTTGCTCATGTTGATTCCATGTTTGTGTGCATGCCCACATGCACGGCTGTCAGAAATTTTCCCCCTAGTGGTATCCCTAGGGTTGGCTCTGGCAATCTCTGGAGCCCTGTGCTTATGCGCCGGTATATTGGGCCCTTCTGGCCCCACGCCCTCTCAGGTTCTTCTTTCCACCAGAGACAGTTGTTGGAACGCTCAACTCTCTCTCCTTAGTTCCCAGGCAGAGAGCCTGTGAAGAGGACCGGTGACAATTTTCCAGAACTCCAAGGCAGAAGACCTTGGGGGAAGAGATTTACAAGGAACTGGAAACTGTGCAGTGATAAACCTCCATTGATGGACCTGCAGGATGCAGAAATCCCAGCTAGGAGAGGGGTTGGACTACAAGGATGGGCATGCTCTGATAAAGACCTGGGAAAACTTATGAGGTATTATAAAGTGAAAGGAATAATTGAGGCTGGTAAAGGTATGTTTGAGTGTTGTGTTATGATGATAAACCAAACTGGAAGAGAGCACTACTGTAAAACTCCACATGTGATAGCTGGTTTGATGCAAGATTGAAGGTAAACTTAGATAGCAGATGGGCCCCAAGGCAGTCTGGGGGTAATGCCCTGGAACCGTTCCCTTTAGACTTGTTCGGATTTGAGCACTGCTTCTTTTTTACCCACACTCTCTAATAGAAAACTGCTTTTTTATTTATGATATACGTGGTCTATACTGACTTAATTAATACAGAGGTTCTAAATTTGTCCACGATAGCTGTCCGGCATAGCTATGTGTCATCCTAGCTGTGTGAGCACATTAATCAAACATTTTCTACAGAGGTGGTTAGTATTTTCTCTACACATACTCTTCTTTCCATGTTTACTCTCGAAACACTCGATTCGTACTGAAACTTGGATGTCTATAGGTTTTTATCCAGAAAAGCATACTCCTTTCTAGAATGGAACTAGATTATTTCATTCTCATTTTTTTCTCTCTTGATGTTGGTAATACATTTACTTCCTCTTTAATTTGGAGTACTATAGAGCTATTATGACAGATATAAAACAGATTACAAAGGTTGAAAACCAGTTAGAATTTGGTGGTGTTACAGATACGATCTTGTTAACTTCCTGGTTTAGATAGCAGTATAAAGTCAGGTGATAAATTTAAGATTGAGGATAGCACTACACTAATTTCCCTTCCCCCTGAAGACTGTAGTTATGGAGACAGAGGTGCAAGCTGAATGTCTTTGTTGGTCCATAAATACGGGGAACTAAGGTGTACAAATATTGGCTTTTAAGAACATGTAGCCTATTCCTTGGATATACAGTAAGTGGAAAAGATAGAGTAACTTGTCAATCTCTTGGTATTTGGATTGTACAGAATTGAGTCTTGTTTGGTATTGATCCTTTCTGTTTGTTGGCTGTTCAATGGCATATTTGGTGATAGCTGATCATCAGTCCAACACCTAAATGTTACCTCTCAAATGAGCAGTTGAGGACTGGAGGACAGCAGCTCCCATTGGCCTGGAGCAGCAAACCGCGGCCAATGGGAGCCGCGATCGGCTGGACCTGCGGATCTGGCAGGTAAACAAACCGGCCCGGCCCGCCAGGAACTTTCCCTACACAAGCAGCGTCCCAAGTTTGGGAAACACTGTTCTAAACCTAATAGGTGCTTGCTTTGACAAAGTATGTTACTTTAAAAAAATTGAGAGCAAGTGTTAAATCTGCTGCCCTTATGATTGAACTTAAAAGAAAGCACTGGTTAGGATTCCCAATGATTAAGACTGTACTATAAATATTGCTTAAATTATGAATATATTTATACATTATATATATATATATACTTGAAAATGTGCCTGAAAATATTTTTCATATCCTTGCCCAGTCTTGAGTTAAAGATTTGTGTTACCTTAACCTGTAAAGTTTTTGGTATGATACAGAATCTAGAACCCAGGACTGGACAGTGAAAGGAGGATGGATTTGTCAGATATCTGGACTATTTTTAATTGCACTTTTTTAAAGCCATCATGCTGAGTTTCAAGGTTTAGGGTCAAATTCTGCTCTTAGTTATACAACACAGAAGTCAACAGTTACTCCAGACTTTTCTTTCTGTAAGAGGAAGCAGAAGATAGCTTATTCTTTTTGCTTTGTTTTATAACGTATCTTCGGAGCTCATCATTTAAAGGGACATCAGGAATTTTTATTTTTTTAAAATAGATTAAATATGACTATAAATAAAATGTGATGTGTTTTCCTCATAGGCAATAGCAGTGAAACACCATTTGGAAAATGACTCCAGTGAGCTTAAAGAGAAGCTGTGCAGAGCAGAACAGGCTTTACTAGGAAACCAGTCAAAGGAAAATGAGTTGAGGAGAAACTTGAGGTAAAAAAATCAGAGGGGCAATTGGAACTCTGCAAGCTGTATGTTGGAGAATAATGTTTTTCCACCAGAAGTTGTTTTGATACTGTCTTATTCTGGCTGTACTTTTTTGGACCATCTTAAAAGACCTATAGCTGTAATACAAAATAAGGCCCTGATCTTGCAGTTTTTGCATTTGATTCCATGTGGACTGACCCCATGCGCAAAATTGCTTGTACGGTGAGGGTTTAAAAAAATTGTTTTGCACCAGCATACTACAGATAGGGTTACAGTTCACATGGAATTATTTGTCTAATCTAATTATGTCATATGGTTCAAGAGACTCTTTGTTTAGTCCTAAAAATAAAATATATTAAATATCTGTTTGAGTTCATTTGGAAATTCTAGAATCATTAGCTGCTTCTTAAGTATAAGTGTGTCTTGCCTAATTCCAAGATTTCATGGTGGAATGAGTACTTTTTTGGTCACACGCAAGAGAAAATCCCCAAAATGATTTGTATAAATAAAGAATCACTGGGAAGTACTGGCAAACTGTGCCTCTTAGTATTCACATGGGTAAGTCTCCTCCTCCAGTATAATGTTCCATTACCTGTCTTTTTAGTTATATTTGCTTTGTTAACAACCAAAACAAGTACATTTTTACTTTTGCAAGCACTATAGATCAGCATTATCAACAACATTCTAGCTATGAAGCCAGATCCTGACTTGGCATATATCAGCATAGCTCCATTGAAATCAATAAAGTTATTCCGATTTACACTAGAAGGATATGGCTGTAAGTTTTGATTTTAAAAAACCTTGATTGTTCATTACAAGATTTTTCCTTTAATTTGTCGGTAGAAGGAAAATGAGAGCTCAGAATAGTCATAGAAGCAACATCGGAGATTTTTTTTTAAGTTCCTATATTGTGCCAATTGTTGTTGTATCTGAATGCTTTCCAGAGTTAAGAATAATTAAGGTGACTAGCATCTGTCATTTGAGGTTTCTATTTCTCCCATATCCGCACAACAGTGGTTTTCAACCTGTTGTCCACAGACCCCTGAGAGTTCGCAGACTGTCTAAGGGGTCCTCAAAAGGTTGTCGTTACAATGGAACAGTGGCTTTCAACCTGTGGTCCGTGGACCACTGGGGGTCCACAGACTATGTCTAAGATTTCCAAAGGGGCTGCACCTCCATTTGAAATTTTCTATGGTCTGCAAATGGAAAAGAGGTTGAAAACCACTGTCCTAGAGGGTAAAGGGTGTGTGTGTCTGGGGAGGTGTAAATATGAAAAATGGTGATGTTAGTTATCATTTTGCAGGAGTGAATTTCATAGTATTGGGCCAGCTCCTGAAAAGGCCCTGTCTTCTGCATCTGCTAGTTTTACTTCTGATTGTAGACAGTTGTTCCTGAGGAACACAGCTACTGAAGTCTAAGCAAGTAAGATGGTATTTTGGGTCCATGTTCTTTATAGCTTTGAAAATAAAGAGTGAGATTTGATTCAGTGTTCTGTTGTGAGTGAAACATAGGACTGATGTACTCAGGTGAACCTGTATTACTAAGGAGGTGTACTGCTGTGTTCTGTAACTGTTGCAGAATTTTCAGGGCTGATGCATTCAATTCCAAATACATTGGATTTTATTTATTCAATCAGGAGTTAATGATGGCCTGTGTGATTGAGGCCAAATTGTAATTGCAAATGATGGGATGTAGCCTTACCAGATTAAGGTGGGAGAATGCCTTTCTTGCAAATAGTTTTGTGAAAGTCCAGAATCAGAGCATGGGATTTTTTTGCAGCTATGTTAGGTTGTTGGTTCCAGGTTTTTGTTGAATGCTTCTTAATCAGAGCCACTTGTGCTGAGTCACAGCAAGAGGGAAGGGCTTTTCAGCCATTTAAACCCCTTGAATTTCATTGGTATTTTAAACACAGGAAGCTGACAATTTATACAGCTTTGAGACATTTGTCAGACATCAGCATTGTCTGAAAATTTTGTCTCTTGACACCTGTGTGTTTTAGAATGATTGATAGCTGTGTGTGTGTGTGTGTGTGTGTGTGTGTTTGTGTTTCGATATAACAGTTGGATATTTTGGACTAGAAGGTTGTGAGACAAAAGGAAAATAACTAGAGGCAGCAACGGTTTTATTTATGTTCTTTGGGTGACTTGTTTAAATAGCTGAAAATACAGACCTGCTGTGCCAGCAAGGTTTTAATTTGTTTTCCATCCAGACCCTCCCTTTTCTTGAATTTGGCTTCTGTGCACTGGTGCCCATCTGCTCGTAGTAAGTAGATGAATAAGTGATGGCTTGCTTCCAGTAGAGTCCCACCAGTGCCATGCCATCTGTTATCCAGCAATGCAGGAGTTTGGGTAGAAGGAGTTAGTTTTTTAGAAATAATTTTATTTAAGTTCCCAGGTAGGACATAGTTGTATGGGGTATTTTAACTTTTCTTAACTTATTTGGAAAAAAGAGGCTTAGAAAACATACTATCCTGAACCCCCAGGTATTACTGACTAATAATACTTTACATCTAATGCTATCTTGCTAACAAGAGCAACTTCATATATTTGAATCATCCACACTGAGGGTACGTCTATACTTACCTCCAGGTTTGGCGGTAAGCAATCGATCTTCTGGGATCGATTTATCGCGTCTTGTCTAGACGCGATAAATCGATTCCGGAAGTGCTCGCCGTCGACGCCGGTACTCCTGCTCCGCGAGAGGAGTAGGTGGAGTCGACGGGGGAGCCTGCCTGCCGCGTGTGGACCTTTGGTAAGTACCTTTAAGTTCGAACTAAGGTACTTCGACTTCAGCTACGTTATTCACGTAGCTGAAGTTGCGGATCTTAGTTCGAACTGGGGGATTAGTGTGGACCAGCCCTGAGAGATGGGTGGTCTGAGAACAGGAACTGGAAACTTCTCCTGAGTTCTGATACTGGCAGTGAAATTGACTCCTCTCTGTGGCTTTGGGCAAGTCACTTAACTTCACTGACTCCATTTTTGTGGACTGGATTATATCCTGTGTCAAGATCTGCTATGGGCAAGCAACAGAGACCTGGTTGCGGCTCCCTGGTTCCATATCTTGAGCCTCCTAAGTACTGCTGTGATCTGTGCCAGCTCGGAGATGTCCCAAAAGGATTGTCTGCCCTTTGAGGATTGCCAAGAGTGCAGTTTGTGTTCCTAACCCATGTAACTGCTTACAAACCAAGGCCCAACTTTCCAGAGTCTTCATGGGACTCAGATGGTTAGTATGCCACATCACACTACTCTAAGATTGACTTAATCGACTGTTTTGTAACTAATGTTTTGTTGTAGGAAATGAAGAAGGAAAAAAGCCTTCTTTGCTGCCAGTCTGATAAAAAATTGCGAAAAATCCATCAGCTGGAAGAAGAGCTAAAAACAGCCAAACACTTTCTAAAGGAGACCCAGAATTATGCTGAAGAGATGAAAAGTGAGATACACATTTCTACCTATTTAAATCCTGTTACAAACTATTACTTCAGTGTGGAGGATCTGTAAACCTCATTATAAATGGTGATTTGAAGCATGCCCAAGAAAAAAAAAAATCCCATTGTGTGATATAGTTAAATTAACTTTTAGCTAATACACGCAATTCTCTTTCCAAACTGAGATGGAACTATTTTATACAAATATACTAACTCATAAAATTATATGTTTTTGAAGCGATTTAAAATGAGGAATAAATATGTCCCAAACAAAACTATATGGTCGGCAAATTAAATACTACAATGTGCTCCTGTGTTTTAAAATCCCAGGCAAATAAATATACCTCAAACTATTTGTACTTTAACTTGTATATGGACTCCATCGAGCTAAAACATGATGAAATGTTACCTGCGGAGCCCTAATTTGACTTTTCCCTACATTTGTCTAGCTCTTCACTGCAACCAACAATAACTTTTCCTAATTGAAACATAACTGAATGTGGGTGCCCAGAGTCCTAAGCTGTCACCCTTAAACCCCGGACAGTTCTTCCTCTCTAATTAGTCTCCGATTATCCTGTCTAGTTATACCATTTCCACCCTTTGAATCACCACTCTAAATAGTCCTTCTCCATCCTTTGTGTTGACATATTTCAAATAACTGTAGATTGCTATTATTTCCCTTCCCCTCCCTCTGTCACTGTTTCTCGCCAAGTTCTGGGGTCTTGGAGACACTGAATTTTACTTGTCCTGTAGAGGGAATGCTTAGTCTTGTTTCTTATGGTAAGTTGGTGTCATTCAATAGAATTCTATTTGTAATTCAGGAAATCTCTTGTATTCTCTGTGTCTCTTAATTTTACTTCATAAATCAGTCCATCAAACACCTTGATCATTTTTATATATTCTGGATCTTGAAGACAGAAAAATAGACTTACTAGAAACAAACATAATTTTTTCTAATAGTTTAAACGAAAGAGAAAAAAGCATTTCTGAGTTGTCCAGAAGACATAAGGAGGAAAGACTGTCACTCATTGAAAGATATGAAGAAATTGAAAAAGAACTTGTAGATCTACAAGGAAAATACAAATCAATGGAAGAAAAAAGTGCCATCATAGAAGGCATTTTAAGACAGCAAAAAAGTCACTTTCAGGAGAGTAAAGCAGAATCAGAACGACAAGAGAAACAGCATAGGGATGAGCGTAATGAATTCTCTAAACTAGTGTCTTTAGAGGGAAAAAATAAAGATTTGATTCAGGAACTTGAGAAAGTGCAGTCAGAGTTGCAATTTAAACAAGCTGAGATTGCTCATATCCAAAATGTATCTTCAGCTGAGTTGGATTGTTTAAGACAGGAAATGTTAAATGTCAGGGCAGAACAAAACATAATGCAAGAACAACATAACATCTTGCTTCAAGAGAATGAGCAATTAAGCAAGGTATTAAAAACAAAGAGTGAATCTCTAACACGTGACTTAGTTCATGACAGAGGGCCTACATCAGAACAGTTGAGTGTGTCCATGGAAGAAAAGGAGAATGAGCTGAATAAATATCAGGTTAAACTTGAGCTACTTCAGATGGATCTTGAGGACAGAGAAGTGTCTGTAGAAAACTACAGCACACAGGTAATACAGTTGGAGGCTGCTTTAAAAAGTGTGGAAAGAAAACTTGAGGAAAGTGAAAAGGAAAAAGAGGATGCAGCAAGAATTACAAACTATTAAAGAGGAACTGGAAACTCCAGATCCTAAGCTTATAGTGGTGGATGAGAATGACCAAACAATGGAGTCTGTTGTTGATGCTGTTTCCCAGGTCAACTCTAAAAGAGCAATAGATGAGCAGTATTCTTTGGTTCTTCATGAGCTGACACCAAGCCAAAATGATGATGTCCAAGTCTCCAGACTAAATGAATTGGAGAAAATGTGTGAAATTTTGCGGATTGAAAAGTTAGCGTTAACATCTGAACTTAATGACTCAAAAACTGAATGCACCACTACTGATAAAATGGCAGAAGAGGTAGAAAAAGTAGTGAGTGAAGTTAAAATATTAAAAGATGAAAAAGCTATTTTTCCTGATGTATTAATGGATCAAAGTGTTGAAAATGAAGTGGGAATACACTTTGATAATGAGCAAATGTCTTTCAAATCTCTGGAATGTAGTGCTGAACCTAACTATAACTATGAAGATTTAAAACTGTCCAACAAAGCAGTTAAAATACACTTTGAGGTAAGAGAGAAAATTTTCTCTTTACAAAGAGAGCATAAAATCTTACATGAGCAACACTGTAGTATGATCTTCAAAGTGTCTGAGCTACAGTCCTGTAATGCAACTCTTAAGGCAGAAAATTCTGCATTGTCAACAAGTCTGAATAAAATTAACACTGATTCAGTGGAAGTGCAGGTGACTTCTTGCCAAAAAGATGGAGAATTTAAATTAGAGGAAACCAAGTCCACATTTTCTCCATCATGTCTTAATGAGATGCCATATTTTGCAGAAGCAAATCTTTTGGAATTGTCCTTTGAGAGTGATCTGTGGAAACGGAGAGAAGAAAGTATTCAGCTGAATATTTCTCAAGAATCTGTTCGAAGAGATACAACAGAAATTAGTGTAGTAGAAGAGCCCCATAATGATCAGGCATTGGACTTCATTGCGAAGAGAGAGCGTTATACACAGAAAATCTAGTCTGGAGAGTAAAATGAAAGAACTTCAGATATTATGTCAGACATATGAAAAGTCCATCAAGAGGTTTGAAGAGCAATTTCAGTCTCATGAAAATATGAAAAATGAGATACAAGAGCTAAAACAAATTATTTCTGAAAGGAAAGAATCGGATGACCTCAGAAAGCAAAATGTATCTGACTATGAACAGTGGCAACAAAAACTGAGTAATGTGACCATGGAGATGGAATATAAGCTGGCGGCAGAGTAGAAACAGATTGAGCACTTGTCTCTGGAGCTAAAAGTAGCAAGACTCCAGCTACAAGATCTTGATTTAAGTTTGCATTCCCTATTATGCACAGATGTTGAAGATGTAAGTAATGAATTTTGTGTACATCATTGTTTTCATTTGATTTTTAGTAAAACCAAAACCAGTTCACTTAGGTAAAACGGAAACTATTTAAAATGATTTGTCCTATATCTTAGTTGAAATGGTACAGTACAGAAACTAGCAAAGCCATGTTATTTTCAGTCTCTGTTATCAATAGCTGGATAAGAGCAAAATCAATATCCTTTGCTGACAATTAATAAGGCATTTTATACTTAAGCTTTTAAGAGTATTATAAACAGCAAAAATATTAAATTGTGTCCTTTTTAATAACTATTCTCTATTCTAATAGTAGCATGGAAATCTGATTAAATATGTTATCTTACAAACTTCTGGCTATCAAAGATACAGGAGGTCTTTAGCGGGACACCTGAAAACATGCTAAACTGTGCACGTTTTGTTTGTTCTGCGTCCCAGCTTTTCTCCTCATTCGTAACAAAGCGGTGATTCCTCTCACCTGTAGAACTGGGAGGTGGACCAGTATTATTGCTGGAGGCTCCAGGACTAAGCTCCACCCTTCAACTTAGGCCACCAGAAATTGTGTCCATTAGCAGAACAAGTTGGCGGTTCAGTTTCTCCAACAATTTTGTTTTATAATTAATTTTTATTCATTTTTCTGCAATGCGGATTTCATTTCAACTTCTTGCTCCTCTCTCCCTCTCCTCAGTAAGTTCTCTGGATCCGCAAACACAGCACTTCTCAGTAACTCCCTTTGACTGCTATTGCAAGCCCTGCAAGATCAAGCTAAGTCCAAGTAATGCAGTGGGCAACTTTTTAGGAGTCTTAGAAGGCGATCTATGTCCTGCTGCTACAAGCCACCAATCCTTGCTCTGTGAGGGGATGGGGCTTTGTTGAACCAGCATACTAGTGCCATGCATGCGCACATAAACACACCCATTTGAAGCCCTGACTCCATTGTGAGATGGCTTCATCAGGAGCATGAGGATTCTCAAGGAGATGAGAACCCCACATAGTCTGCTAAGGAATAACACTTGGAAATGCCATATGCTCTAGGTCCCAAAAAGACAAAAGGAATTGTCCCCTTTGTAAGGAAGTAATATGTATAATTAATGAGCAGATTGTATAAACATCAGGCTTTAAACCTTTTCTCTTGCCTCCCCACTCTTAGGATGTGTTTGCTGGAGTTTTCTCCTATATACGGAACTCCAGGAGTATTCTGTATCAGGCTCCCTGCCCCCTCCCACCCTGGAGTATATCTGGGTGTGCAGAGACACGTTACTTCTGTGATGCCCTATCTCAGGTGGCAGGGTAATGTAAATTGTTCATCTCTGCTTTTTAACCTGGGACCCTCTTTCAACCAGGGAAGGGGGCCCAAATTTGAGGCCACAATGGAGTGGGAATTGTCCCTGTCTGTTTATCAGGTCAAGGACCCAGGCTTTACCAGGGAAAGGAGTTTGGAGTCTCCGCCCCCTCTCCATAGGCTTGCTCAGTGTTGAACGATTAAAGAGCACTTTAGACAGTGTGTGCCCAGAACAGAGGCACATAAGAATTCCATTCCTTATGTAGCTGCACCATCAGGGGATTACAGAGGTGTCAAGGAGAAATCCCTTCCCATGTTCAAAATAGCTCCTGCTTTACTGAGTAAAAAGTCCTAAGTAGTACTAATTCTCTTCAAAGTACTTACTGGGTTCTAGCCAAGCCAGCCTGAGGGTGTAGACAGACACCTTTTCAGGCACCTGGGGCCATCTAGTAGGCTATTCCAACAATCAGCATTTGGTACCCCTCCTTAGTTGAGAGATTCCCAGAGCAGGATGATTAGTGTGCTACCTCACTTCTGTAAACAATCGGGAGAAGTACCCCATGTACACCACCACCACACACACAAAAAACCCAAGCCCATATAACTCTCTCAGCACTAGAAGCCAGTGTCTTGAAAAAAAAAAAAACCCTCAATAATAATAAACTATCTACCCCTTCATGCAAAATTAAATACTTTCTCATACTTTCCTCCTTTGAGATCATCATTTCCGGTTAAAACTAGATGTTAAACTAAAACGTTATATAAAAATATAAGGAAAATGTATTAGTTTGGGGAACCTAAGTGTAGCAGTAGTCCTACCAGAGAGAGATGGCCATGCCTTCAGAAGGGGGTTCCTTTCAAAAGATTCCATTGACCAAAAGGTTGAGCATGCTGCATCAAAATTTCAAAACCTCAATTGTGGCCATTTCTTATACTCAACTTATAAATCAACTTGGTGCAAGCAAGTGGGTCATAGTCTCTAGGGTATGATTTGAGTGTGAGAGGTCTCTGGGTTATATTCTTGTCAAATCCTTGAAGTGGTGTGCAAGATACTCTTTCATGGCAATTTTTCCTCTATCTTGATGTGATTTGTGACAAACCATTCTTACTCTCTGGCTATAAACTGTTTACACTCATGAATGTGAAAAAAATCATCCATACCCTGTGATTCCAGTTTCACAAGTGCAAGGCTATTTGGCAAACCAGTGAAATTAGTAGCTGAGACAACAGAAGCCTGAACCCTCTTTGTCAAAACTGGCATAGTAATCTGTTGGTCACTGCCAACACCAAAGGTATTCATGAAGGGAGTGTTTGCCTAGCAGAGGGGAAAGTATGAAGGAGAAGCTCACATGGAAGACCTAAATATTTTTCTTCCCAAACAATTAAATCTTCAGCATCACAAAGACAAAATGACCATTTGTGTGCGAAGAGTTTACAATTCCTATACAAGACTCTTCGTTTTGGCCTACCCTCTGTGTCCAGAGGTTTAAATGGCTGGTAGTATCACAGCAAGGCTGAGGTCTCAAGTTACACAATCCTGTCCATTTATAAACAACATCACTGTTTGTGCCCTGTCCAGAGAAACAGATCCATTTATAACTTGCTAGCTGCTAGAAAGGATTCCAACCCACCTGGAGTTCAAAATCAAGAATATTCTGAATCCAGTGCAGGAAATTGTTCAACTAGGTTAAAAATAGGCATGGCTTTGACTATAAATTTACCACTGTGGAAAAGATTTACAAAGACCCAAAATTTCATCTCATCAGTTGTATCCTGGCAGCAATCACCCTGTAGCCAGTCTTCTCCAGTGACTGGATTTGCTGATGCCATGCATTGGTACTGTCCACTGAGTGGGATTTCACAATGTGCCTCTAGAAATTCCTTTTATGGACACGTCATTCTCAGATCCTGTCCAAATGTCTCTTTTTGGGCAGGTAAGTACAAGCAACATATTTTAAAAGAACCCAGTTTTCACTTTGTATGATTGCTACAGGAACAAACCTCACTTGGTGAAGCGCATACCTGGAATACAAGATGACCCCAGGGTTATGGTCCCTCACTCAGAAAAAAGAGCATCCAGCTTTCTCAACCTCACACATTGTGCTGTACAGTTTTTCAGTATGTCAGGGTACACATCCTTTTAGTTTATTTTTACAGAATTAAGTAGTGTTAGAACAAAAACATAGGAATGGACAGATGGGATCAAACCAGTGGTCCATTGAGTCCATTGTGTCATCTGACAGTGGCCAGTAGCAGTTGCTTCAGAGGACGGTTCAAGAAACCCTGTTGGGGGCAGTTATGGAATAACTGACCCACAAGGGAAATTTCTTCCTATCTCCACAAGCCAAGAGGTTGGCTTGTGCTCTATATGGGGGGGAACTCCTAATTCTGTCCTATTCTATCAAAAGCTAAAATTCTGATTTATCCTTTTTCCCTCCCACATACACTTCTGTGAATCACTGCTTTCTATTTCCCATTTGTGATGAATGAAGAGAAGCTCTTCATCATAATGAGAAATTTCTAGGACTGTCAAGCAATTAAAAAAATTAATCGTGATTATTCTCACTGTTAATAGAATACCGTTTATTTAAATATTTTTGGATGTTTTCTATATTTTCAACTATATTGATTTCGATTACAACACAGAACACAGTGTACAGTGCTCACTTTATATTTTTTTATTACAAATATCTGTGCTGTAAAAAACAAAAGAAATAGTATTTTTCAATTCACCTCATACAAGTACTAGAATACAATCTCTTTATCATGAAACTTGAAATAAAAAATGTAGAATTATGTACAAAGAAACCTGCATTCAAAAACAAAACAATGTCAAACTTTAGCGCCTACAAGTCCACTCAGTCCTACTTCTTCAGCCAGTCACTCAGACAAGTTGTTTACATTTGGAGGAGATAATGCCCGCTTCTTGTTTACAATGAGAGTGAGAACAGGCATTCGCATGGCACTGTAGTAGCCAGCATTGCAAAGTATTTTTGTACCTGATATGCTAAAGATTCATATGTCCCTTTATGCTTCAACCACCATTCCAGAGGACATCTGTCTATGCTGATGATAGGTTCTGCTCAATAATGATCCGACGCATGTTCATTTTCATCATCTGAGTCAGATGCCACCAGCAGAAGGCTGATTTTCTTTTTTGGTGGTTCAGGTTCTATAGTTTCCACATCAGTGAGTTGCTCTTTTAAGACTTCTGAAAGCATGCGCCACACCTTGATCCTCTCAGATTTTGGACAGCACTTCAGATTCTTAAACCTTCGGTCAAGTGCTGTAGCTATTTTTAGAAATCTCACATTGGTACCTTCTTTGCATGTTGTCAAATCTGCAGTGACTGTTCGTAAATCAAACAACATGTGCTGGGTCATTATCCGAGACTGCTATAACATGAAATATATGGCAGAATGCAGGTAAAACAGAGCAGGGGACATACAATTCTCCCCCAAGGAGTTCAGTCACAAATTAAATTAACTCACTATATTTTTAACGAACATCATCAGCATGGAAGCATGTCCTCTGGAATGGTGGCGGAAGCATGAAGGGGCACATGAATATTTAGGATATCTGGCACGTAAATACCTTGCAAGGTCAGCTACAAAAGTGCCATGCGAAAGCCTGTTCTCACTTTCAGGTGACGTTGTAAATAAGAAGCAGGCAGCAGTATCTCCCGTAAATATAAACAAACTTGTTTGTCTTAGCGATTGGCTGAACAAGAAATAGGACTGAGTGGACTTGCAGGCTCTAAAGTTTTACATTGTTTTGTTTTTGAGTGCAGTTATGTAACAAAAAAAAATCTACATTTGTAAGTTGCACTTTCACGATAAAGAGATTGCATTATGGTACTTGTATGAGGTGAATTGAAAAATACTGTTTCTTTTGTTTATTATTTATGCAGTGCAAATACCTGTAATAAAAATAATGTAAGGTGAGCATGGTATACTTTGTATTCTGTGTTGTAACTGAAATCAATATATTTGAAAATGTCGAAAAACATCCAAAAATATTTAATAAACAATAGAATAGCAATTGAAATTTAACAGTGCAATTAAAACCGATTAATTTTTTTGAGGTCATCGCGTGAGTTAACTGCAATTAATCCACAACAACAAAAATGTCTTATCTGATAATTTTCTTTCTACTACTAGTATCTCTTAATTCAGCCCACTGTCCTTATCTGATAAATTACCATAGAATATTTTTTTTCTAAAGGGAGATTTAAATATATAATTGTCTTAACCTGAAATTATAATAACTAATGTTTTCTTAAGGTTAGTAATAGTTTGCTAGTGTTCCTATAGCTTTGGAATCACTCTTCTAATGGTCTGAGTTGAAGGGCAAGGCTTAGTCCTGTAGCCTCCAGCAACAACACTGGATCAAATTGCACAGGTGAGTGACATTACCCATTTGTTATGAATGAGAGAAGCTGCTAGTGGAAAATTACCAGGTAAGAAATTTCTCAGTCTTCTTTGTAGACTCACTCTTGTCTTTCACTGACTTCTACCAATTGCAGACTTCTCCTACTGAACAAGAAAATAATGGCATGCATCAGTTGCAAGTGCATAGTTTGCCTAATGAAAACTTGGCACCCAAGCGAGAGAAACCTGAGATAAAACTATGTGAACAAATTACTATAGAAGAAAACTCTGAATGTGAAAATGTAGCTGAGGTCACGGAAGCAAGATCTGCAGAAGAATGTCTAGCAAAACTGATCTCAGAGACTGAATATACAAATATATTGGAGAAAAAGATAGACTGCCACAGTGAATTGTCATTTTCCAATCACAACATCTCTATAACGCCTCTGGATTTCTTGGAAAATCAAGTAACAATTGAAACTCTTCAGCTACAGATAAAGCAGACATCTAGAGAAAACCTGAAGCTGCTCCATGGCATAGAAGGCCTTGGCTACACTTACCCGGTAGTTCGGCGGCAAGCGATCGAACTTCTGGGTTCGACTTATCGCGTCTAGTCTGGACGCGATAAGTCGAACCCGGAAGTGCTCGCCGTCGACTGCGGTACTCCAGCTCGGCGAGAGGAGTACCGCGGAGTCGACGTGGGAGCCTGCCTGCCGAGTGTGGACCAAGGTAAGTTTGAACTAAGGTACTTCGAACTTCAGCTACGTTATTCACGTAGCTGAAGTTCCGTACCTTAGTTCGAATTAGGGGGTTAGTGTAGACCTGGCCGAAGAAAACAATACAAAAGTTGATGCTCTGCTCATAGAAATCAAAGAATTAAACTCAAGTTTGGATTTGTAGCATACAGAACTAACTGCAAAGATAACTGCTTATGCAGAACTAGAAAAAACAGTTCTACTACTTAAAAAAGAAAACTCGGACTTAAATGAGAAACTTGAATCTGTTTCTTTTGATAAGCAGCAGATATCTTATAAAGTTATGATTCTAGAAAAAGAACTTGACAAGGCAATGTCTGACCTGGATGTGTACAAAGTTAGATTATCTGATGTAACAGACATGCTGGAGGACTTAGAAGTGACCAAAGGAGACTGGCATGAGAAGTTCCTTGAAACTGAAAACGAATTGAGGAGGACAAAATCTGAGAAAGAGAACACTGAGAACCATGCCCTGTCCCTAGAAGGTGACACAGAGGAACTTCAGAGAAAAAATTAACAGTTAGAAAAAGGGAGTGAAAATAAACTGAAAACTATTTCAACTCCTCAAGAGCAACTTGCTGTAATCACAACGGAGAGAAACCAACTCAGTCAAGAACTGAGCATTTTGTCAGAGAACAAAGAGGAGTTGGATCAACTGTATCAAAAACTGCAGGAGAAAATAAAAGAGCTAGAATCAAACAAAGTGGATGCTACTGAATTTATCGGGATATTAGAGGCTGAAGCTAAGATACAAACCAAACTGCTTCAGACCACAAAATCTGATGTAGATCAGTTATCAAGCGGAAAAGACTATCTTGTTCAGCACTTGCAGAATGTGGAGAAGGATGCAGAGATTCTGACATTAGAAAAAGAAAAGTTTCAAAACCAAATGCAGGATCTGGAGGAGGAAAAAAATTTGATTCTAAGGGATTCTGAAATGTTGCAGACTAAGTTAAGTGAATCAGAAATGGAAAACTAAGCTTTCCAAAACTTTGGAAGGCTCATGAATTGAAAAAGGCGAACTTGCTGCTAGACTGAACTCAACACAAGAAGAGGTGGATCAACTGCCATATGGAATTGAGAAGTTGAAAATAAAAATAGAATCGGATGAGAAGAAAAAGCGCCACACAGTTGAAAAACTGAAAGAGAGTGAACGGAAAGCAGACTTTCTTCTGGACAAAATTGAGAAGCTTGAAAGATAATTGCAGATGTCAGAAGAAAATCTAGAAGATGCAATTCTTCAGGCAGAGACTGCTAACACAGAGACAGAAACATTAAAAACTGAGATGGAAGAGATGGCTGAAAGGTTGAAAAGTTTAGAATTAACAGTTAATGCCTTCAGGTCAGAAAAAGAAGGTTTGAATAAAGAACTACAGGAAAAGCAAGAAAAGATATCTGAATTAGAATCTTCTAACTCTAACTCTGTAAGACTGCTGGAAGAAAAGGAGAGAGAAAATATGCAAATTAAAGAAGAGTCTGAAAATGTCATGGTATTGATAAAATCTCAGCTGAAAAATGCAAGTGAGGAAATAAAGCTTTCTTTCAATAAGCTAGAAATTTGTAAGGCAAAAGAACAAGACTTAATTCATCAAGTGGGTTGTCCTGAACATGATAAAACACAACTATTACTGGATCTTCAGGAAGCAAGAAACATCAGTACCAAACTAGAACAATCACTAGGCGCACTTGTACAGGAACTTGCAGACTGTAAACAAACCTGAGACGAGAAGATCAAAGAAAATGGTGCACTACAAAAGAATATTAAAGATGCAGAGCAGCTCTCTGTACAGCTGTCACATGCGGAAAGTGAACGTGAATGCTGGATGCAGGAAAAAGAAGGGCTGCAGAATTTGATAGCTGAATTGAAGCAGAAGGTTCAACATCTATCTAATAATGAAATTTTGAACACTAACCTAGAAAATCGAAAAGCATCCCCCAAAGATCTTGAAAAGGAGCTGGAGTCCACACGGTCTGAAAAATCTGCTCTTGTTGAAAAGATAATTCAGTTTAAGCTATTGTACAGTCCTCTTTGTAAAAATAGGGATAGAATGTCCTCTGGGCTGACCACTTCCTTGCCAAATTAAAGTCCAAAAGAGTTTAAACTGAGGGTTGTACAGTAATCACTGACAAAAATTTGTGGTGCTGTGGAAGGAATAGGTCTGATTTTCAGCGAACGTTTGTCACATGGACTTCTATAATAGCTATTCGTGATTAACTCCCTGTGTGGATACTCTTACTCTGGAATAAGATCATCCATGCAGGGAGTTAATCAGGAATAACTATGCCACTTTAAAATCATACCCTACTTTAATCCGAATTAACTTCTCAATGTAGAAAAGCCATAAGATTGTATGTGTGCACTTGCAAGTCTACAAAGATTTTGGTGTATGCACTAACAGATATGCATTCATTCACCTGGTAATGTGTACGCAATGTAGCTGTTTGTTTGCCCATACCCACAGGCCTACTGAAAGCTCTGTGTATTTTCTGTATTTTCAATTTTTGTATCTGTGGTACTGTTGGCAGGTTTAGGGCCCAAGTCAGAGTCCATGGAAGTCTCTGGGAAGACTCCCATTGACTTCATTGGGTTTTGAATCAGATTCTTATTGCCTATTTAACATGGCCCTTTAAAATGTATCCTCGATCAAGGTATTTCAGGAGGGTGTGTGATGGTTATAGAGCTGGAGACGGCCACTAGGGCGTGGAGAGATCACGCGAGTAAGAGTAAGTGTAATGCCAGAATCTTTCTCTTCCCTGAGGAGGGAAGAGGAGAAAGGACAATGAAATTAACATGGGGGAAAATAAAGGTAGTTTGGGGAAAAAGCAGTCAGAAAGATGGATAATCTTCAGGAACAGAGAAAACAGCCAAGTTAGTTACTGAATGAGGAACTGACTTTTCCAGGTTTGAGGGCCAGATCCTCAGCTGGTGTAAATCTGTGTATCTTCATTGAAGTCTGTGGATCTCTGCCAGTTTAAAGCAACTGAGGTTCTGGCTGCAACGTTTTAGGAATTTTAATACTCTGTTAATATTCTCCTCTAATACAGAATGAAGATGAGCTCACTGCTCTTTCCCTTTCCTTCATACTTTGTATTTGAAAACTGTTTCACTGGGGATAGGGGGCCTCAGGATTTCAACCTGGAAAGGCTGCTATGACAAAGGGCTCTTCTCTATTTCGGACATTTATATGTTTTCCATCAGTGGAGTATCTGAGATCAATTAGATAACAAGTATAATGTTCCTCAAGTATTTATTTTTAAAAAATAAACATTTTCACAGCTCTCTCTAGGGTAGATAAAACCTAGGTTCATATTTAAGCCTCTTATTCTAAAGTGCTCATATTTCATTCTCCGAGTTTGATGTCTTACAAATCATATGATGTGCAGCCGTGCTTTCGTTTATGTAAAATATTAACCATTGCTTCTAATTTAAATAGGCGTGTTAGCTTGTAGCGAAGCAGTGGGATACCCCACAGCCCCGCTGAGGGGTGAGCCTCCCCTAGCACCAACGTGGACGGAGCCAGTGGATCCTGCACCCGCACCCCAGACGTCATGGTGCCGGATAGGAAGTAGAAAAGCCCAACTGCAAAGAGCTCACTTGAAAGCCAGCCGCTGGAGAGGCCAGATTCCTGTCGCCTAGCTCCGGGTTGGGAAACGCCGTCAGGCTGCGGCCAACCCGAGGACTGGCTGGGCTAGGCAAGCCTACCCCTGGCCAGCTACCCAGAGGAGCAGCCGAGCCTACCTCTTGCCAGTTACCCGGAGGAACCGATGATGCTGGAAACCTCTGAGGACACTGCCCTAATCCAGGTACCATACGAGGGGGAGTCCGGAAGTAGCCCGGGGGCAGCCGACCCTGATCCGGTCGCAGCCCTGCCAGAACCAATGTCAGCGTGTTGCAGTCAGGATCCCTACTGACACAGCAGCGAGTCTTCTGCCGCTGCTAGGGCCCCGGGCTGGGACGCAGTGGAGTGGGTGGGCCTGTGTCCCCCCTGCCACCCCACTCATGGGTGGCAGTCTCCCCCTTGCACCAGATGCTCAGAACCCTGAACTCCTGACTGTTTGTTTGCTGCCCCGTCCTGATCCAGGGCCTCGGCTTCTATTGAACTATTGGCTCAGCCCCTACCTAAGGGCCTGAGCTCCTGACTGTTGGTTTGCAGCCCCGCCCTAACCAGGGCCTGGGCCCATAGCGAACTATTGCGAGGCGGTGGGATACCCCACAGTCCCGCTGAGAGACGAGCCTCGGCCAAGCCCTTCTACATAGCTGCAGAAACTGTGTGCAAAACTACATGACTATGGGCCTGTTCCTGGATGTCAATAGATGTTATACCATGAATTTCAGTATGATTTTTTAGGAATCATACCCAGAAGTAACTTTCTATATCCTAATATGTCCGCAGAATAGTCACAAAAATAGACAGCTTAAATACTAAAAGAATGTTGCAACATTTTTGTCAAGGTCAGACTAATGACCCTGAAGCTCTCAGAACACCCTCAGTAGGAACAATTACTGTATATGTTGTGAGGTTAGCTTTGGCTTTATTGCTAACATCATTGGTGGGATGAAGCTACTTGTACAACTCAGAGCTAAAATGCCTTTGTATATGATAGAGAGGCCCATCTTCTCTGTAATCTTGTATGCTATTGTTTTATGTTAAAAAGTTTGAGTCTGGGGCTACATTACTGTAGCTATACGGCCATTAAATAGTTTTCTTTTACCTTGTCAGCTATTTCCCCATCTATAAAAATGTAATTACCAAAGACTGAGCAACTTTTGTTTGTGGATTCAACTGGATCTAACTACTTCAGGAAAAAATGAACCAAATAAGAGGTTTGGATGGAGTTCAGAAAGAACTGGAGGAAAAAGAGAGCGAAATGAAAAAAGAAATATCCGAATATCAGAGCAGACTTCATCAAGTAGAGAAAAACCATGAAACTCTTCTGGCAGAAGCAAAGAAAAAGGTAAAGCAAACAAGAAAAGGGCACGGGGGATCTTAAGGAAGATTTGAATATTCAGCAAACAACTTATGTGTATATAATTTCCCCCCAAAAGAGGTTGTCTTAGCTATAGTATTTCAAAGCACTTTCTTCCGATAATCATTATGGGAAAAATGAATGTGTATAGTATGTCATAAACGTAATACTTTGAATGTTGTGTTCACACATCTTCACTGGAACTACTCCTGGGAGGAAGGGCTTGGTAGAGTGGGTCTAACGGTATGGTAATCTAGGCATAAAGACAAATGTTACAGCATTGGGGATTGTGAGGAAAGAGTCAATTGTGATTACATTAAAAGGAGGACGCGGCAGGATTTGAGAAGAGACTGAATATGAGAGAGAGAAAAGAGTTGAAGGTGATGGGATAGAGGTGTAATAATAATACTAGTCCTTCTATCCCAGGATTTCATTGTTTCACAAAGAATTATTTAAGCCCCAAAACATCCCCGTGAAGTAGGTGTCTCATTATATCAGAGGTGATAGAGGTGGAATGTGGTGGAGATTAATTAATAGCAAAGATATAAAGGGCCAGATTCTCTTTTGTGCTGCATTGTGTGGTAGTCATCTACACAAGTGTAAAGTAACTTTGCAGTGGGGTAAATGACAACACATGGTGCAGGGCAGCAGAATCTGATCCAAGAACTTCAGATTTGAAGAGACTGAGCTGGAGCCTGTGTGGCATCCAAGAAGATGATTTGAGAGGCAGCTGGAGAAGTGAGAGTAAATAGAAGGGAGAACCTTGAGGAGTAGTATTTCTACTTTTAGGTTAGTATGAATTGGAGGCTTTTAGTAGAAATGCTAACACAACTTTTAACTGTTTGGTCTTACAGAGAGCCCACATAGATCCCATACAGAAAAGCTAGTAAAATATGAACGATTGGTCTGAACCTATGGAAACAGGAAAAAGCATGATCTGTTAGATCTGCCAGTGTTGTACAACACTTTAATCTGATTTGTTTAAGGATCTCTTCTCATCTTTAAGTGTAATGTTTGGCTTTAGTGAGCTTAAGTCACACAGAACGTTGCTGTAACTTAGTTCTATAGATTTTTCTAAATAGTTATTATACTTTACAAATTGTACTGAAAAATACAAGGCTTACGACACTTCAAAATATATATTTATTCAATAGTCATAAAAAGTCCTCCTCCCTCCTTTTGAAAGAGTTGTCTGCACAAATGTGTACCTACAAGCTTTTCAGGTATTAGGTGCCCTAGTTCAGTGCTACTCAAAGTGGTGGTCTGTGGACCGGTGCCGGTCCGCGAGCCATTGGCTGCTGGTCCGTGGTGAGTTTCCAGGAAAGAAAGAGAAATAATAGTATAATTTAAAAATCACACCGGAATTCCACCAAGAATAATTATCAGTCGATAAAAGTCAACAATATTAAATAATATTATGTTTTCAGAAGCACATATTATAATATTGATAATTATGCCATAGTGCTACAGCATGTTTTGCATGAGACGTGCGAGCGTGCGCTTACCCCACTCCTTCGCATATAAAGACCCCACCCCACTGGCAGTTACCATCGAAAAGTTAAATAGAGAGCGTCATACAGATCTCTGCGCGTTCGTCATTTGGGACCCCATCCGAACCCACTGACAATGTAAGTACTAATAATAATATAAATTTGAATAATTATTTTCTATCCTATCCTGCCGTATCCCTTACGAAGTAGATAGACAATTGAGCACCACACATCTATAGCCAAATAGTCCTTGTAGGAACAGGATTTTATAATTGTACTAATTGTATTTTAAGAATTGATGTAAACTTTGATTTCATTCTGCCAGCCACCCTTTTTGAACAACAGAAAGGAATGTCTGGAGACTGGGATCCTGTTTCCAATATGCATTACAATTAGGACCTGTTATGAAGTTTAGTTAGTAAGCGACAGGATTTTGTATTGTGTCTATGATAAATAGATTAGAGAAATGTTGAGGGCCTGAAGCCCCAATGTGAATTGTTTTAGTTATAAGATTTAGCAAAGCTTGATTTACAATGTATTCTGCTGAATATAAAATACTGCTGTCTGTATACGTTTGAAGGTTTCTGTGAGAGACTGTGTGAATGAGGAATGAATGAATCAGGAAAAGATAAGGTGTAAAAGCCATCACAAATGTCCAGATGGTCAGGAAAAAGTGAGAGACTTGGAAAGATGAGGAGACAATCAGAAAACATCCATTGTATTGGATGCTAAACATGTTAGCAGCATTAACGACCTCAGCGGTGAGGCAGGCACCCCCGAAGGCGAGACAACAAATAGGGGATAATGATGGGAAGCCTGACAATAACCATCAAACGATAACAGCAGAAACCCCCAATATTAACACCACTTAAGGACTAATGATAACAGGATGACATTGCAAAATGCATGGACTCAAATGGGAATTTACAACTATAAAGCCGGGGTGCTTTGCCATGGAACTCTGGGTTCAGTCCTGCAAAGTCTTGGAGCATCGGATCACGACCGACAGAGTCCAGCTCCTCACTCGTGCTCATCTAACTGGCCATTAGATTTACTCGAGCTACAACAGACTGGTAACTATAAACATCAACTGGCAGGAGAGAGAGAGAGAGTGTGTGTGTGTGTGTGAGAGAGTGACTGTTCCCCCTGAAAAGATCCCGTGTGCTTTGTATGCAGGGGCGGCTCCAGGCACCAGTGCAGCAAGCTGTGAGGGCGGCAGTCAGCCTGCTGGTCCCGTGGCTTCGGTGGCGGGCACGCAGAAGGCGCGGGACCAGCAGATCACTCGGAAATTTGTCTCCTCATACATTCATAGCCATGAATGATGGTGGAGTGCCAAAACCACAGTGTGTTATTTGTGGCGATGTTTTCGCTAACGACGCAATGAAGCCGTCAAAGCTCAAGAGGTATTTAAATACAAAACATAATGAAATTAGTTCAAAGCCGAAAGAGTTCTTCGAAAGAAAGCATGGTGATTTAAAAGGCCGTCAGAAACAGATCTTTGAAGTGTCACACACAAATACTTGTGCTTTGCGAGCTTCTTATAAAGTAGCATTTCGCGTTGCTAAGGCTAAAAAGCCATACACAATCAGTGAGACACTAGTGATAGGCTGTATTAAAGATGTCTGCATGGAAATGCTGGGCGAGCCGGCAGCAAAGTGGCTCAGGTGCCACTTTCAAATGACACTATAGCTCGACAAATTCACGATCTGGCTCACGATATGGAAGATCAGCTCATAGGACAGATTAAATTAGCAAAGTAATTTTCTTTGCAGCTTGATGAACGTACAGACGTTGCTAATAGGGCAATTCTGATGGTGTATGTGCGCTTTGAACGTGAGGGTGATTGGAAGGAAGAGTTCTTCTTCGAGTGCTTGCTCATATCCATTCCATTAGGTGTGTGCGCGCCGCGTGCACGATCGTCGGAAGATTTTTACCCTAGCAACACCGGCGGGTCGGCTGTGGAGCCCCCTAGAGTGGCGCCTTCATGGCGCTGAATATATACCCCAGCCGACCCGGCGCCCCCTCAGTTCCTTCTTACCGCCCCTGACGGTCGTTGGAACTGTGGAGCGCGGCATAGCTGTCCTCCACTCTCCCTAGCTTATTTTGTTGTATCATAGTTATAGTTATAGTTATAGTCCTAGTGTTGTAGTTTTAAAAGTTGTCTAGTTGTTTTAATAGTTCAGGGGATTAA